ATGGCTGTCCTGCAAAGGGCTGCCCGCGGCAGAGTGGGGAGGGTGGGCTGGGGACTGTGTGCTCCTCGGGCACCTGCCCCGGCCACGTACCTCCCCGCTGGGAGGAAGGCCTCTGCTTGCCATCACAGCGAGGTGCAGCCCCGAAGCAGCAAACCTGGATGCTGGTCTCCCCGCTGCGGATCCCCCCTGCCCTGCCCCATCCCCGTGTGTTCTCTGGCTCAGCGATCAGGATACCCGAGCGCGTTCCCCCACAGGCTGCCCAGGCACATCACCCCCAGGTCACCCTGCATCCCACTTGCCTCTCAACTCCTTCCCTCCTGGGAAACACCAGAGCGAGCTGGGGCAAATGGGAACGGCTACTAATTCCTCCCAGCCCAGCACAGCCGTAGCCCTCCGGGAATCAGCCCCGCAGCGACAGAGGGAGCCGACTCCTGTCTGCACGCCAGCTGCACCAGCCTGGTCCCGGGAACACGGGCGGCTGTATTTTCATTGCAAATTAGAAATCAATCATAGCAGGAAATTCCCGTGCTGAGAACACCCTGGCTATTACTATTTTACAGCACTCGGAGGTGTTCCGGGCACTTAGGAAAGATGTGGCTCTTTTGGGGTATTATGGGGCAAATTAGTTTTAAAGGCAGCTGTAGGAATGTTGGCCATTTGGTTTCCGGAGTGGGATGGGTGCAGGTGGAGGCTGTGGGGCTTTGTGCTGCTGTCGGATACACTGCCGCTCTGCAAAGAGGGAGTCGGCACACTCCGGAGCAAACACCTCTAGCCTGACCCCAGCTTTATTAATAACAAGTAATTAATATGAGAGCGGACGTGCCTTGTGTCTCCGAAGACCTTTTAAGATGTGATTATGTTGTGCTAATCTCACCCCGAAGTACTTCCCTGTTTAGACTGCACTGGGCCATTAAATATCTGAAAAGCCAGCGGAGACCCCCCCCTTGCCGCCCCGGGAAGTGCTCGGGGTCTGCTCCCCGGCAGCCAGGCCCCCCTTTCAAACCCTCTAAATCAAGTATTAAGTCGAGCCCATCTGGACTGACAGGAAAAACACTCCCTCCCCTCATCTGCGTCTCATTACCTGCCGTGCCAGCCCCGGCCCCGGAGCCACTCACTCCATCCCGCCCAGATGTGCTGCCCCGTGCTCGCCTCCCGTATTTCACAGCCGTCAGCAGGACTTCAAGGAGCAGCCGAAGGGCCTGTAACACTGCACAGGCTCTTAGCAAAGACATATATCCAAGGCCCCTAACACATAGCTGCAAGCACAGACCCTAATTTGACCCCCTTTCCCCCTCCCTTGCTCTTGCACCAGGCAGGGGAGCCGGGGTGCACGGGGCTCACCGGCCAGGCGGTTTCTGAGCCACTTCCCCACAGCTCTTTGCCCAACACGTGTCCAGACTATCCATTTTCAGGGATTCCCCCCCCAAAATCCCCCAAAGCCAGGAAGCCCTTAGGCCCCACACCTGGGGAAGGGCACCCAAAGGCAGGGCAGGACTTAGCGGACACCAGCAGCAAAGGTGAGGAGTTGAAGGCAGACACCCGCAACCCTGTACTGACCGCAGTGATTAAATTTGGGAGCAGCCCACCTGACACAGGGCAAAGTCAGCACTGAGCCAGCAGCACAAGGCGGCACCCAAAATCCAAACCAAGGAACAACCCCTGTGTTCATAGGCGCAAAAATCTCCTGGGCTAAAGCGTTCCAGTGAAAGCTTCACCACTTCCAGAAAAAACACAAGAACAGCCACTTTTGTTTAAGTTTGGCGCTTTCCTGGCCCTGGTGACAGCCCAGGACTGCAGAGGCGGAGATGCACATCAAACCTGCATTCCCGAGGAGAGTTATCCCCCTCCTCCTGAGCTTCCAAAGAGCCTTCCGCTGCCCAGCCAGCAGTCGGGGCTCGGTGTCAGGTGCGGTTATGGTATGAGTACCACGCAGCCGGCCATGCTCAAACATCGCTCTGCCAGCGAGGCCAGGGCAGGCAGCATCGCAACCAGGTTTTGGAGGCACGAGATTTAAGAGGGGGACGAAAAGCATGTCTATTGTCTCCCTGTGCCGCTGCCTGCAGGAAGGTGTGCAACCCTGGTCCTACACCGGTCCCCAATGGCCAGCACTGGCTGGGGACCCCCGGAATCCCCCACAGCAAGTGATGGCGAGAAAAGCCCTGGGATGAAAATACTCCTCTCGGCAGCCTGTCAGCGCGTGGCAGAGATGCAGGGGAGGCTTTAATGTCAGTGAGGAGGAAAGGGAGAAAGAGAGGGGAAGAGGTCAGAGGGTTATGACGCACGTACAGGCACTGACACATCCCGTAACACAACGCGGGGAAGAAGCCGGGGCTCAGGGCAGGAAGCCTTGGGATGGCCTTCCCCAAGGACTGCATGCACGGTGGGGAGGAGACGCAGACGGGAGCTCCAACCAGACCCTGCAAGCAAGAGCGGGCTGTGCCCGAGGTCCACCGAGGTCCCCACCCGGCCGAGTGAGGGGTCTCCAGCATTTTGGTGCAGTGCCTCCAAGGCCACTTGTCGCCCTCTCTGCTCCCGGTGGCCCTGGGCAGGCGGTGGCAGCCACTGCCTGTGTCGGGATGCCATCTAGTGTCACTCGGCAGAAGGGCCCGTCAGGCAGTGACACCATGCACAGGCTCCCCAGGCTCACAGCATCTCCAAGGGCCAGCGGGGAGGCACCCCAAAACAGCATGGGTACTGGGACACCCAACCCTGGGGGACTGCACCCCACCGATGCTGGGCTGCGCCCCATGACATATGCCACCACAGCTCCAGACCCCCAAGGAGGACGATGGGCATTGCTCAGGTCACGCAGGGACAGCGGAGCTCAAAGCGGTGCCCGGGCTTGCTCAAGGGACTCCGGGGTAGCCAGGGCTTGGAGACTCAGCAGCCTCACCAGTGGCATGGGGTGGCCCGGACAGCGGGTGGCTTGGTGAAGGAGGAGGGTGAGCATCCCCCATAGCAGCGTGCAGCCCACCTGCAGCACCAGCGCGGCCAAGCCCAGGGCCAGGGAGACGCGGCAGTGCTGCGGGCTGGACCGCAGGGCGAAGCCCCAGGTGCGACGGCCGCTGGGAGCCAGGGGTGAGGAGGCTGGTGGGACAGGAGGCATCGGGAGTGGGCTGGTACCTGCAGGGGTGGGAGCATGTTGGGGGGCAGTGGGAGTGGGCTGGGTGTCAACCGTGGACAACCCCCACGTAGTGGCATGGTCCTGCTCCCTGCCTGGTGCAGGAGCATGGTGGGACGGGGAGTAGGAGGCCAGTGGGACCACGCCTGGTGCAGCGGCCTTGTAAGGTGGCCAGGGGGCTGAGACAAGGGAGATGCTCGGTGTCCCCCATGGGACAGCATCTGGCCTCTCTGTGGGTGCCAGAAGAGCAGGAGGCACTCGTCTGGTGGTGGCGGCCAGTGTGCTGGTTGGCGCCGGTGTGGTGGCAGAAGCTAGAGTGGACAGTGCAGGCTCTGGGCTGGTGGCCCCAGCAGGCTGTAGGCTTATGATGGCTGGAGTTGGATACAGGCTGAAGGCCTCCTGTGGCACAGCTGGCAACGGGGTGTTGATGGAAGCCTTAGGCAGCACAGTTGGTGATGGAGTGGTGGTGGAGGCCTTGGGCAGCACAGCTGATGATGGGGTGTTGATGGAGGTCTCAGGCAGCACTGTTGGTGATGGGGTGGTGATGGAAGCCTTGGGCAGCACAGTTGGTGAAGGTGTCTTGATGGAGGTCTCGGGCAGCACAGTTGGTGATGGAGTAGTGATAGAGGCCTCAGGTGGCACAGCTGGTGAAGGTGTCTTGATGGAGGCCTTTGGCAGCACAGCTGATGACAAGGTGGTAATGGAGGCCTTTGGCAGCATGGTTGATGATGGTGTGGTGATGGTGGTCTTGGGCACATTGGTTGATGATGGGGTAGTGATGGAGGTCTTGGGCAGCACAGCTGGTGATGGGGTGGTGATGAAGGCCTTCGGCAGCACAGCTGGTGAAGGAGTGGTGATGAAGGCCTTAGATGGCATGGTTGATGAAGCAGTGAAGAAGGCCTCTGTTGGCATGGCTGGCAACATGGCAGAGGTGGCCACAGGTGACAGCATGGCTGACGGTGCCATGATGGGAAAGGCTGCCAATGACAGTGAAGTCGGTGCTGCCATGGGCAAGGCTCCAGGTGACAGCAAGGTTGACATCCCTTGTGATGATGTGGAGGTGAATGGCAGAGGTGGGGTAAAAGAAGCTGGAAGAGGAAGAGTAGCTGAGCAAATCAAGTGGTAGTCCCTCAGTGATGTCACTGCTTGCCCTGCCAGGTGGGGTGGACTCTTGCATGACACTTGGGTGGGCAATTTAACCTTCTCACTGTTGCCCAGAATCCAGCTGTGCAGGTAGCGGAGATTGCAGTCACATCTCCACCCGTTCCCACTCAGATACACTGAGTTGAGCTTCTTCAGGGGGTCCAGGAGCCCTCGGGGGACACTCTCCAGCTGGTTCTTCCGAAGGCTGAGGGTTTTCAGATTTGGGACAGAAGCAAAGACCTCATCATCCAGAGCAGAGAGCTGATTTGTGTCTAGCTGGAGGTCCAAGAGCTTACTGAGCCCAGTGAAGGCTCCTCTTGGCAGGGCTGCTAGCTGGTTGTGGGACAAGACGAGTTTGCTGAGAGATGTGAGGTTGACAAAGATGCCATCTGGAAGTGTAGCCAAACGGTTCCTGCTCAGGTCCAGCTCCCGCAGGTGAGGCATGGTGTCAAAAAGGCAGCAGGGTAGCTCCATAATGTGGTTGGAATCCAGAGTCAGCAGCTTCAATTTGTTTAAACCAAAAAATCCCTGGAGTGGGAGAGCCCTGATGAGGTTGTTGTCCAAGAGGAGTTTCTCCAGGTGAGGCAGGCTTCTCAGGAGCATGGGTGGCAGTGCCCTGAGCCTGTTCCTCTGGAGACTGAGCTCCAGCAGCCCCGGCTGGCCATCTAGCAGCCCCTCCGGGAGGTCATGCAGCTCATTCTCATACAGCCGGAGGACTTGCAGATGGGGGAGTTTGCTAAAGGCGTGGGAGAGCCCTGATGAGGTTGTTGTCCAAGAGGAGTTTCTCCAGGTGAGGCAGGCTTCTCAGGAGCATGGGGGGCAGTGCCCTGAGCCTGTTCCTCTGGAGACTGAGCTCCAGCAGCCCCGGCTGGCCATCTAGCAGCCCCTCCGGGAGGTCATGCAGCTCATTCTCATACAGCCGGAGGACTTGCAGATGGGGGAGATTGCTAAAGGCATCCCCAGGAAGCGCGGTGATCCTGTTTCTAGCCAAGTCCAAAAACGTTAGGTTGATGAGAGAATCAAAAACGCCTTCTGGAAGAGAAGGGATTGCATTGATGTGCAGGGAGAGCTCTCCCAAATTCTCCAGCCCATCAAAGAGGCCTTTGGGAATGTGTCTGAGGTGGCTGTCCCTCAGCTCCAGCCTCTGCAAGCTTGGAAGGTTTTGGAAAGTGCCCACAGCTAGTTCTTCTAATGAGGCACCAGAGATCTCCAAGTCCCTCAGCTTCTCCAAATTATCAAAGGCTCCAGGTTCAACTGTCTTGATCTTGTTGCCAATAAACAAAATCTTGATCAGGTTGGGCATGTACGTGAAGGCACCTTTCCTTATAGCAGTGATGCTGGTTTGCACGAAGATCATCTCAGAAATGAAGGGCTTTGCAATCTTTGGGATCTCGCTGATGTCATTTCTTGTCCCTCTATAGACCTCCTGGTAGTCTTTGGGCATTTCATATGGATCTTCACCCAGGATTTGATCTTGGCATTTATTGGGATGGAAGGAGAGGACGAAAAGGAAAAGGAAATGCTGGTACATTGTCCTAAAAAAAAAGGTTTCAAAAATCAGTTATGAAGAATAGAAAAATCTCTGTCCACAGCTCATGAACTGTGGTATCACACTTCGTTCAGCTCTCAGGACTCTTGTATTCACACATCATAGCTCATTTTCTGAGAAATAGAGAGACTGTACCAGCCATCGTATGCTGCTTTTACAAGAGTTCACTGCCATTGGGACCGAGGGATGGAGAGGAAGGGAGAGTGACCCAGCTCATGGCTTGGCTCTGGGGGATGCTCCAGGAGGGCCAAGGGCTGGACGGTCTGTTCTCTCACCCTCCTTCTCCCACGCCTGGGCTGCAGGCTTGGCATCCGGCTGGGTGAAGAAGGCAAATTGCTGCCGCCCATTAGCGCTGCCTCAGTGGGTCCAGTTACTCAGCAGGGCAATAGCCCATTCATGCAACAACAGAAGCAATCAGCCCTGCGCTTGCTAATGAGGGATCAGCAAGGGTCCCAGGAGCCAGCCAAGACCAGATGACCTTGTTTATTCACAATTTCCACACTGTGCTGGATGGACTTGCTATTTCATTGCTGCTTCTCTCCGTTCAGGAGGGTTATTTAAAACATTGCTTCTAAGCATTTCCTTTTGGGGATTCTTGCTGATCACATCATATTTTGGCCTTGGTTATGCAGCTTTGTCAGATAGAAATGGTGGACTTATGAGCAGCAGCCAAGATTTAGGGTGAGGCTCATTAAAAGACTATGAAATGTCCATAGATTAACTGTTTAATACCTAACATTTAGGGCTGTGACCTGCGGTTAGGAGGTGAAGTCACTGACACACACCCACCAACAGCCATGTAAAGCCCATCACTTTTATCGAGTCATTTGGAAACACCCAACGAAAACATCAGTTGGGATTTAACGGCTGTGAGCATCATACCAGGACAATAATTTCCAGCTTGTGATTCACAGCCCTGGTTGGGAGCAGGGGGAAGGGCTGAGGGTTGCTTCTTGGGTGTCCATCAAAGCTGACCACACAGAAGAACTTATGCTGGGAGGGTAAATTTGCTATGAAAATTTATTTTCTGAAAAATATTAAGAGGTCAGCAAATACAGGAGGCTGAAAGCTATTGGGTTTGAAGAGAAACTGATGGGAGGTGAGGTATGTGCCAGCTGCCCCGCGGGGCTCCCCGGGGCAGAAGCCGCTGCTGATCCCTGCCCGTCCTCTGCCCCGGGGAGATTTGGGTGCGGACACAAAAGCGCCTGCCCCACTTCAGCTGCGGGGGCAGCGCAATGGGTCAAATGCACAGGTGGGAACAGCTGGACTGAGTGCATGGGGATGAAAATAAACAGTTTTGAACTGCAAAGCTTTTTTAAAAACCCTCCCTCACCCTGTCTGACTGCGGTGGACCTCAGTGTGGTCCCCTGCTTGTCCCACCCCCCCCTCCGGGAGTGCAGGGACATTGAGGCACAGCCCCAGACCATGGCGCTGCAGCTTCTCATGCTCCTTACTGCAAGGAAATGATCAACAGCTCCCCAGAGCCGTCCCTCCAGGCATATTTTAAAGAGCAAAAAAAGCGTTTTGCATCACTTACTTGGCCGAGCGCTTGCGAACGAGTCCAGCTGCTGGAACGAGCCACGCCACACGAAGAGTGAGGCCACCAGATGGGGGTCCCATCACCTGGCCAGCTTTTTATCCATGGCCCAGGCGCAGGGCTCGGTTTCACGCGAGGTCAGGACGCAGGTCTGCGCGGGGAGATAAGGGGCAGGCAGGGAGCATGCAGCGGAGCTGTGCCCCTGGTGTGGGAGGCCATCGCAGAAACCTCTCGGAGAGGACGCAGGCACATACGCCTCTAGGCATTATCTGCTGGCGCCACTTGACTAGTCACATCCAGGGAAACCTGAAGATCTCTAGGCCAGCCTGGTTTGTAGCCGATGGTCTCTGCAGTCCCATACTTGCACCAGCGTAACCCACCAGCTTCACAGGCACCACCCCCACCGACACAACAGAAAGGAGTTTTCCTATTTAAAGCTTTTGCTGTTTAAAATATCCAGCTGTTTCCTTCCTCGGGAATTGGCTTATGTAGCTAAAGGTGCTGCTCTGGAGCCATTTGTTTAAGCTTGTAACAGGGATGATGTCTGTGGCCGGACAGATACACTGACACCCGGGTTGTGGGCTCGGCCCCACAGCTCCGTACCTCGCCGGCCGCAGGGCTGGGGCTGTGTTGTGCCACCCGAGCACGAGCCAAAGACCCTCCCGCAGTGACACCCAGGCTGGTGCAGGGTGTCTTGTGGGAAGAAACACCCTGTTTGATTCAAAGACTTAACATGACAAGGCATCCATCGCTTCCTACCAGATAATTGCACTAATTGCATTTCTTCTTCGTTTTTCACCTGCTCTTTTTAAGGTTCAGCTTGTGCTCTTGGGCTTTCCTGGCAAATTAAAAAAAAAACACTGCAAACTATTGCATGTTTTCAGCAGCCTTACCCCTTTCCAGAGTCAATCCCGTATGCACCCAGGTCCCCCACTCAGTGCCAGGCTGCTCCACAGGCTGCGGGGTGGCAGGAGCCGGAGAGGACAAGGCGATGGAGCTTGCAGCAGGAGTGACACCCCCTCCGCAGGCCATGGGCCCTGCGGTGTGGCAGCTGTGGCGGAGTTTGTGCAGCTGCAGGCAGCCCCAGCATCCCCACTCCGGGCTTAGAGCTGGTCACACCAGCATCACCTGGCAGATGGCCACAGCGGGGTGACAGTCCCCTGCACGGGGCGGGCAGTAGGTTGGCTGCGCAGGACCGTGTCCTAGAGTGCAGCGTGGCCCACATGCCTTCCCGGAGCATGGGGCCAGCAGTCCCGGGCACGGCTAGCACAGATCGGGCAAACACAACGCAGAGCCTCCGCTTTGCTGGCAGAAGCCACCAGCCAACCGGCAAAACCAGCGCAGCCCACCAGGCAGGGTCCCCAGTGCCCTCGTTGCTGCGGGCAGGGCCCGGGAAGCCGGCGCAGAGGTTGCCCCGGGGTGGCTCCGCCTGGCCCGGGACAGCCCGTGTCCCACCGGCCGCAAGATGGTGCAGCAACACCGCACCGCAACCCCTCGGCGCAGCGCTGCAGCCTGCGGGGGCGCGCCAGGCATGGCCCCACGCGTGCATGCACCCACGCACTCACACACACACACCCCCCCCCCACACACACACACACACACTCGTGCATGCACCCACGCAGCCATACATCCCCATGCATGCACGTACTCACACACACACGTGCATGCACCCGCACGCTCCCACGTGAATACACTCATGCACTCACTCCCACGTGTGCATGCACCCACACACGCACTCCCACATGCATGCACTCGCACGCTCCCACGTGAATACACCCACACACTCACTCACACACACTCCCACGTGAATACACCCACGCGCTCACACACGCGCACCCACACTTGCTCTCTTATGGGAGCACCCACCGTCCCCGCTGTCCCCTGGGCTGGCAGCCCTGCTGGGACTTTGTGCCCCATCCCCACGGTCCCTGGGGGCTCGGGGGGAGGGGGCGGGAGGGGGGGGGGCTGCAGTCCCAGCCCTGCCAGGGTGGGTGGGGGACCTGCTGGTGCACAGCCCTGGGCTGGAGCCCACCCTGCAGCCCATGCCCCTCGCTGGGCCGTTGGCAGCGCTCACCTGTGTCTCCTTCAGACACCCCACACCAACGCCGTGCCCGAGGGGTGGTGCAGACTACAGCCGGGTCTCTGCACGGCCGAGGGATGCGGGGAAAGAGGTGAGGCTGGAGAGCTGCAGCGGGCAGAGGTGACCACACCGGAGAGCAGCACCCACCCACCGCCAGGCACCCACAGCCATGGGACACCACGCGTAGCCCCAGCCCATTCCTGGTCGGGCCACAGCGACCTTCACTTCCCCCAAATACACAGGCAGGGATGGGGGAAGCGTTTCCTTTCTCCACCACGGGAACTGGTGTCACAGAAATAATACGTACGTTTTAATGAAATCCCAATTATACAGGAAACACATGGCTGCGAGAATAAATACCACCAGGCCAGGTCTTGCAGAGAGCTTGGTGACAGCTGGTGACCATGGCAGGCGTAGCAGAACAAGAGGAGGTGCTGTGTCCCGGGCTGGTCCGGAGATGGCCAAAGCAAAAGCAGAGCAAAAGCAGGCGCCTGCCTGAGCCTTAGGGCACAGCGGGGAGACCTGGCGACATGGCCTCATCCCTGCTCTGCGCCGTGATGAGGAGGCTGACTTGCAATGTGCCGCAGCGGGAGCGCAGCACCCAGGTGCCCTGGTACTCCAGCCCCGCTCCTGCTGCCTGCCCAGGAGGAGGAGGAGGAGGGAGGCGAAGGCTGAGCTGCTGGCAGCTGGTGGCATCACAGGACATGCTTACAGTGCCCTCAGGGTTGCTGTAGGTGCACTGCCCCAGAGCATCCTCCCCCAGCTCCCCGTCCCAGCCCTCCTCCAGGGGGATGCCAAGCGCTCCCGGGCACTCCAGCTGCCCCTGGGGGACCTCCAGCAAGGACCGTCCCCGGAGGGCAGCCGGGCTGGCACAGGAGGCTTGTGCGTGGGTGAGGGGCTCGGCGAAGCTCTGGAGCCAGCCCAGGAGGTAGGAGAGGCGGCAGTCGCAGGCCCAGGGGTTGTTGGCCAGCCCCACGCGTACCAGCTCCCCGTTGGCATCGAAAAGCCCCGGGGGCAGGTGGGTCAGGCGGTTGTGGTCCAGCGCCAGGGCGGTGAGGAGGGGCAGCCCG